GCCTTCATGAAAATATCAATAATAATCAATAATTTTATTAAGAATTATACAATATTCTCCATAGGCGATAAGGAAATTGGTCTGCTTTTCAGCCGTGGTAGCCATAACCTGAGAAAAAAAATGATTCATTAAAAGGGGCCAAGGAGTGCTTTAATGAGTTTCACAAGCGGGAAGAAATGCACAGAACCGTCTTTCTATAACATATCAGATCCAAGACACAGAGCGACATACCTCCAGAGGGCTTGCAGTACTGGTCGACGGTGACGTACTCCTTCTGCTGGACGGTTGTGGTGACGTACTGTGGCACTGTCTCCGTCACGTAATGGGGTACTGCCTGCGTCTGCGTCACATAGTGGGGCACGGCCTGGGTCTCTGTCACGTACTGGGTGGTGTACTGGACGGAGAGATGACAGAAAATTATTTAAACAACTAGCTTAGATAAAACGTATAAGGAATGGGAGAAATCAAGATGTATAAATGAGTAAATACCTTTATTCTACTAAACTACCTGAAGGTGTGAGCAAAACTAGACAGGATGAATAGTTAACAGGTACTTACCGCGGTTTGGTACTGTGTCTGGGTTTGGTATCGGGTCACAGTCACATACTGGGGCACTGACTGCGTCTTGGTCACGTACCTGACCTCAGGAGGGCACGGCTGTAGAGGAAAGAGACAGTTTAGAAATTCCAAATGTCTAGACAGGTCTTTGTCTGAGGACTGGAAATAAAAGTGAAATGGGACTTTGGATTTTGAAGATATATCGAAAAAGGATATGCAGTTAATCGTACCAACCTTTGCGTAGCCATACTGCGCCTCAACGACCGCTGCTGCCAGGAGGATAGTTGCGAGAACAGTACTGCCAAGAGATCAAAGGAAAGCGTTTTTCATTATATCATTTCAGTTTATATTGTAAAATATGTAAAGATAAACTGATGCACTTATATCATAATTTTTCAGGCGACGAACCGAATCATGTTGGAGATGTAGAAGTGACGCTGTTGCCGGAACGAAGCACTGCTGAGCGCTGCTGAGTCGGCCTGCCGTCGACGGCCTTTTATACTTGCATTTTCTCCTTCGTGGCCTTCCCGCCCACCCGACACGGTCGGTCGCCGCATGGGAAAATTTGAGAATTGATTTATAGCTTAGACTTTTATTGTAGACATCACACGTGAACAGCAACAGTTGCTGAAAATGTAAATCTGATTGGTAAACCATATGTAAATAACTTTGCATTATAGAGTTAAATAAAGGAAATAGGAGGAAGGATCGCAGTCGTAGGCCGGAGTGGATTCCACGAAGGTCAGGAGAGAAACGCCGGGCCTATATAAAGGCCGCCATCACTCCACGACTCACACTTCCCTGCTAACTCCCGAAGGAACACTTAAGAGCACTTCAACATGCATTTGTGAGTTTCGATTCACCTTTCTGTACAAAGGAAGAAAGTGGCCATTTTGTCATGATATAAGAAGTGATTTTTTCGCTTCTGTACAGCACATCACTTTCAATATCTTGATTCTTCACGTTCTTTTTCTCCCCAGCTCTATCTGACGGCGGCCCTGATGGCGGCAGTGGTGGCGGCGGCTCCTGAGGCCCAGTACGGTTATCAGGCCCCTGTGAGTCACGCCTCTAGAAATGTCTGAATATCGAGAATGCAAATCTTGCCCAATATACTTTCTGACGCAGAATACGAGTTAAATCCCCTGTGTTCTCGCCCCCAGAAGTGCCAGCCTGAGATCCAGTACGTGACCCGGACAGAGACCGTGCCCGAGTACGTAACCACAACCCACTACCAGACGCACACGCAGTACCAGACGCAGGTAAGCTCTCACTCTGTTCCATGTTCTTTCAAATGCTCCATTCCAATGCCTTCGGCCGGCATTTAAAATTGTATTTAACCTTTATCTATTTACCCATTGCAGTACCAGCCACGCTACGTCACCCAAACGCAGCAGGTGCCACACTACGTCACCCGAACGCAGACGGTGCCCGAGTACATCACCCAGACGGTGCCTCAGTACGTCACCAGGACGCAGTACCAGACGCAGCACGTCACCGTCACCAAGCCATGCCCGAGCTCAGGAGGCAAGTGATCCTTAACCAGTGATAAATTTCCAGCTTAGTGCATTGCCAAAGAACCATTTTGTTTTGATCACGATTATATAATATCCATTTTTTTTCACTTCCACAGGCTACGGTGGATACCACGGTTAAGGACTCCCGAAGAATCTCCGTGGTATTTGAGTCTCAGAATCGGCTTATATAATTTAATAAACACTTTTTAAACACTTTATGTTTTACACTCCTTGATAGCATAGAATGCTATACTGAAATCTTTTTAAAAAGTACACTAGTCAAATTATTTTTCCAAAGAGATATACAATAATGAAGTGGATAAGTATACATGTCCATATATACAAATGCGCACATATACTTATATGTAGATGGATAGATATGTGTGCGCACAGATATATATATATATATATATATATATATATATATATATATATATATATATATATATATATAATATATATATGCATGACCTATGTATATGTACATGTATGTGATTGTATGTGCATAGTATATTATATGTATATATATATATATATATATATATATACATATATATGTATATTCGTGTACTTATATATTGAAACTTCAAACACAAAGATAGCAAACGCAGTCTTGATGATAAGGAAGGTATCTACATCATACTTAATATACATAGAAATTAGATGCTAAAAATGCTGAAGATGGAATTCTTGGCCTTATTATTTTCTGGTGATTAAGCATATTCAGCTTCATTTCCCAGTGACATAATTATGAGATAAACCAAACTGAAATAACGATGTTTTTATATCAGGTACTAATTGTATCCTGTTATATGTACAATATTTCTGACGATCAGAATTAGAACAGCAACAGAAGTTGATTGAGCTCCAAATTTGAAGGAATAAAAGAAGCAGATTGTTTGAGTTACACAATCAATATCTGTTATTTGACAAGAGGAAAGAGCACTCTTGTTAGACATGCTTTCCTTCCTTCGGTCGCTGTCGAACCACTGTGCTTCTTTATTACTTATTAAAGGCCATATTTGGAAGACAGTTTTGAACTTTCTTCCGTATGGGGCTTTTCCTTTCTTTTTTTTTTTTTCCTTTGGCATTTATGAATGTCACTCCGGAGACCACAGAAGATGGTGACTGCTGTGCAACATCCTCCTCCAAGCTTTTACCTCAGAGACAAGTACACAGGCCATCCCTCGTTGCTACAAAGCCCGACGGAATTATATTCCCTTAGCGGTAGGAAGGCACATCTGTATACATCTGTCTAAATCATTTTTATATACACCGTATTTAGATAGACAAATAGGTATGTATGCACACACAGGTTCGTAAACAATAAATTGCCTTTGCCTGAATATCGTCTTAAATATGACGATCTATCAATGCATGAAATAAGCAGAAAAGAAAGAGGCTTATGTGTGGATATGTGGGTGATGCTCTGACGGTTGCCAAAGAGCAGAGCTGATAGAGGAGGGTGCTACATGTAATGGTAATGATAATAACAGTGACACTGGACATTCTCGGGAAATGATGGCAATGAAAGGGATAATGTTGAAATGAAAATGATAATAAAGGTAGCAATAACAAAAGTTATCACTTCAATCAACATCGGGATGGTTATTATCACCACCGTTATTATTGTTGAACATTTATCTTGATTATCCTTGACTTATATTTCCCTAGTATATCCATCAATAATTTTGTAGTCATTACTAATATCGTATCGTATCACATATCTTTCATTATTGTGACTGACATTTTTCATTATCGAAATAAAGCTATTGTCGTTGTCAGTACCATAACAATTGCGTTTTCCTTCCACACATGTATGTGAATAAATAATTTACACACTGCACAGTATACTAATATATAGTCAGGATGGCCGAGCGGTCCAAGGCGCTGCGTTCAGGTCGCAGTCCGGTCTTCCGGGCGTGGGTTCGAATCCCACTCCTGACAAGGATTTTAGAAGGACAGAGAAATTGTATGCTATACACTTAAAGTCATTTCGGAAAGATGCTGATCTTGTTTCTGCTCAAACACATGATCGTGGGAGACTGACGACCGTACTGTGTTATACCCTTTAATTATCAAGCGGATTACCCTTCAATACCCAGCATGAGTTTCTTGATGTGTGCTAAAAAGAAATCCTTGTATAAAGGGCCTTCATGAAAATACCAATAATAATCAAATTTTATTAAGAATTATACAATATTCTCCATAGTAGATAAGGAAGTTGGTCTGCTTTTCAGCCGTGGTAGCCATAACCTGAGAAAAAAAAGATTCATTAAAAGGGGCCAAGGAGTGCTTTAATGAGTTTCACAAGCGGAAATGCACACAACCGTCTTTCTATAACATATATCAGGTCCAAGAAGACAGAGCGACCTACCTCCGGAGGGCTTGCAGTACTGGTCGACGGTGACGTACTCCTTCTGCTGGACGGTTGTGGTGACGTACTGTGGCACTGTCTCCGTCACGTACTGGGGCACTGCCTGCGTCTGTGTCACATAGTGGGGCACGGCCTGGGTCTCTGTCACGTACTGGGTGGTGTACTGGATGGAGAGATGGCAGAAAATTCTTTAAACAACTAGCTTAGATAAAACGTATAATGTAGTATAAATGAGTAAATACCTTTGTTCTACTGAACTATCTGAAGGTGTGAGCAAAACTAGACAGAATATATAGTTGACAGGTACTTACCGCTGTTTGGTACTGTGTCTTTTTCTCCCCAGCTCTCTCCTGACGGCGGCCCTGATGGCGGCAGTGGTGGCGGCGGCTCCTGAGACCCAGTACGGTTATCAGGCCCCTGTGAGTCACGCCTCTAGAAATGTCTGAATATCGAGAATGGAAATCTTGCCCAATATACTTTCTGACGCAGAATACGAGTTAAATCCCCTGTGTTCTCGCCCCCAGAAGTGCCAGCCTGAGATCCAGTACGTGACCCGCACAGAGTACGTAACCACAACCCACTACCAGACGCACACGCAGTACCAGACGCAGGTAAGCTCTCACTCTGTTTCATGTTCTTTCAAATGCTCCATTCCAATGCCTTCGGCCGGCATTTAAAATATCGTATTTTACCCTTATCTATTGTAATATAACATAAGGCATTCGCATTGCAGTACCAGCCACGCTTCGTCACCCAAACGCAGATGGTGCCCGAATACATCACCCAGACAGTGCCTCAGTACGTCACCAGGACGCAGTACCAGACGCAGCACGTCACCGTCACCAAGCCATGCCCGAGCTCAGGAGGCAAGTGATCCTTAACCAGTGATATATTTTCAGCTTAGAGCATTGCCAAAGAACCCTTTTGCTTTGATCATGATTCTTTATAGGATATCCAATGTTTTTTTCGACTTCCACAGGCTACGGTGGATACCACGGTTAAGGACTCCGAGGAATCTCCGTGGTATTTGAGTCTCAAAATCGGCTTTTATAATTTAATAAACACTCTTTAAACACTTTATGTTTTACATTCCTTGATAGCATAGAATGCTGTACTGAAATTTTATTTCAAAAGTACATTCGTTAAATTATTTTTCAAAGAGATATACAATGTAATGCAGAGGAAAAGTATACATGTCCATATATACAAATGCACGCATGCAATCTAAATACACACATATATGTAGATGGATAGATATGTGTGTGCACATATATGTATGTATGCATGACCTGTGTATGTGTAAATGTATGTGATTGTATGTGTATATAATATATACTATATATATTGAAACTTACTTCAAACACATAGCAAACGGAGTCTTGAGGGTAAGAAAGGTATGTGCATCATATTTAATACACAGAAATTAGATACTGAAAATGCTGAAGAAGGAATTTTTGACCTTATTATTTTCTGGTAATTAAGCATTCAGCGACATTTCCTAGTGACATAATTTATGAAGATCAACCAAACTGAAATGACGATGTTTCGATATCAGGTACTACTTGTATCCTGTTATATGTACAATATTTCTGACGATCAAAATTAAAGCAGTAACAGAAGTTGATTGAGCTCCAAATTTGAAGGAATAAAAGAAGCTGATTGTTTGAGGTCCACAAACATAATCTCTGTTATTTGACAAGAGGAAAGAGCACCCTTGTTAGACATGCTCTCCTTCCTTCGGTCGCTGTCGAATCACTGTACTTCTTTATTACTCTTTAATTATAGGCCACATTTGAAAGACAGTTTTGAACTTTCTTCCGTATGGGGCTTTTCCTTTTTTTTTTTCCCTTTTTCCCGGAGACCACAGAAGATGACTGCTGTGCAACATCCTCCTCCAAGCTTTTTCCTCAGAGACACGTACACAGGCCCTCCCTCGTTGCTACAAAGCAAACAATTGCGTTTTCCTTCCACACATATATGTGAATAAATAATTTACAGACACTGCACAGTATACTAATATATAGTCAGGATGGCCGAGCGGTCCAAGGCGCTGCGTTCAGGTCGCAGTCCGGTCTTCCGGGCGTGGGTTCGAATCCCACTCCTGACAAGGATTTTAGAAGGACAGAGAGACGATTGTATGCCATACACTTAAAGTCATCTCGTAAGAGAAACTGATCTTGTTTCTGTTCAAACACATGATCGTGGGCGACTGACTACCGCCCTGTGTTATACCCTTTAAATTATCAAGCGGATTACCCTTGATGTGTGCTAAAAAGAAATCCTTGTATAAAGGGCCTTCATGAAAATACCAATAATAATCAATAATTTTATTAAGAATTATACAATATTCTCCATAGTAGATAAGGAAATTGGTCTGCTTTTCTCCATAGTAGATAAGGAAGTTGGTCTGCTCTTCAGCCGTCGTAGCCATAACCTGAGAAAAAAAAATATTCATTAAAAGGGGCCAAGGAGTGCATTAATGAGCTTCACAAGCGGGAAGAAATGTAGAAAACCGTCTTTCCATAACATGACTTGCAGTACTGGTCGACCGTGACGTACTCCTGCTGGATGGTTGTGGTGACGTACTGTGGCACTGTCTCCGTCACGTACTGGGGCGCTACCTGCGTCTGTGTCACATAGTGGGGCACGGCCTGGGTCTCTGTCACGTATTGGGTGGTATACTGAATGGAGAGATGGCAGAAAATTATTTAAACAACTAAGATAAAACGTATAATGGGAGAAATGAAGATGTATAAATGAGTAAATACCTTTGTTCTACTGAACATACCTGAAGGTGTGAGCAAAACTAGACAGAATATATAGTTGACAGGTACTTACCCCAGCTCCTGATGCCCAGTACGGTTATCAGGCCCCTGTGAGTCACGCCTCTGTAAATGTCTGAATATCGGGAATGGAAATCTTGCCCAACATACTTTCTGACGCAGAATACGAGTTAAATCCCCTGTGTTCTCGCTCCCAGGATTACCAGCCTGAGATCCAGTACGTGACCCGGACAGAGACCGTGCCCGAGTACGTAACCACAACCCAGTACCAGACGCACACGCAGTACCAGACGCAGGTAAGCTCTCACTCTGTTCCATGTTCTTTCAAATGCTCTATTCCAATGCCTTCGGCCGGCGTTTAAAATATCGTATTTAAGTTTTATCTATTGCAATATATCATAAGGCATTCCCATTGCAGTACCAGCCAAGCTACGTCACCCAAACGCAGCAGGCACTGGCACACACACACATATATATATCATATATCAGACATTTCAATTGCATTGCTACGTCTCCCAAACGCAGCAGGTGCCACACTACGTCACCCGAACGCAAACGGTGCCCGAGCACATCACCTAGAAGGTGCTTCAGTACGTCACCAGGACGCAGTACCAGACGCAGCACGTCACCGTCACCAAGCCATGCCCGAGCTCAGGAGGCAAGTGATCCTTAACCACTGATAGTTTCAGCTTATATCATTGCCAAAGGATCCTTTTGCTTTGATCATGATTCTTTATAGGATATCCAATGATTTTTCGACTTCCACAGGCTACGGTGGATACCACGGTTAAGGACTCCGAGGAATCTCCCTGGTATTTGAGTCTCAAAATCGGCTTTTATAATTTAATAATCACTCTTTAAACACTTTGTTTCCCGTTCCTTGATAGCATAGAATGCTGTACTGAAATTTCAGTTCAAAAGTACATTAGTCAAAGGATTTTTCCAAATAGATATACAGTGTAATGCAGTGGAAAAGTATACATGTCCATATAAACATATGCACACTTGCAATTTAAATACACATATATTGTATATGTAGTTGGATAGATATGTGTGTGCATATATATGTATGTATTGCATGACCTATGTATGTGTACATGTATGTGATTGTATGTGTATAAATATATACATATATATACATATTTATATAAATATATTTGTCTATATGTATATTAAAACTTACTTCAAACACAAAGATAGCAAACGGAGTCCTGAGGATAAGCAAGGCATATGCATCATACTCAACACCTAGAAATTAGATACTGAAAATGATGAAGAAGGAATTTCTGACCTTATTATTTTCTGGAAATTAAGCATATTCAGCTCTATTTCCCAGTGACATTATGAAGATCAACCAAACTGAAATAACGATGTTTTCGATATCAGGTATTACTTGTCTTCTGTTGTGTATACAATATTCTTGACGATCAAAATTAAAGTAGAATCAGGTTGATTGAGCTCCAAATTTGAAGGAATAAAAGAAGCTGATGGTTTGTACTCCACAATCATCATCTCTGTTATTTGACAAGAGGAAAGAGCACCCTTGTTAAACGCTCTCCCTTCCTCGGTCACTGTCGAATCGCTGATTCTATATTACTCGTTTATTAAAGGCCATATTTGAAAGACAGTTTTGAACTCTCTTCCGTATGGGGCTTTTCCTTTCTTTTTTCCTTTGGCATTTACGAATGTCACTCCGGAGACCACAGAAGACTGCTGTGCAACAACATCCTCCTTTTCTCAGAGACACGTACACAGGCCATCCCTCGTTGCTACAAACCCCGACGGAATTATATTTCCTTAGCGGTAGGAAGGCACATCTGTATACATCTGTCTAAATCATTTTTATATACACCGGATTTAGATAGACAGATATATATACTTTATATGTATGCACACACATGGTTCGTAAATAATGATGTGCCTTTGCCTGAATATCGTCTTAAAATAAGCCGATCTATCAATGCATGAAATAAGCAGAAAAGAAAGAGGCTTATGTGTGGATGTGTGGGTGGTGCTCTGACGGTTGCCAAAGAGCAGAGCTGATAGAGGAGGGAGCTACATGTAATGGTAATAATAATAACAGTGACACTGGACATTCTCAGGGAAATGATGGCAATGAAAGTGATAATGTTGAACATGAAAATGATAATAAAGGTAGCAATAACTAAAGTTATCACTCCAGTCAATACGGATGGTTATTATCACCTTTATTATTGTTGAACATTTAATCTTGATTATCCTTGACTTATATTTCCCTAAATATATCATCAATAATTTTGTAATTACTAATATCGTATCGAATCACATATCTTTCATTATTGTGACTGACATCATTATCAAAAATAACGCTATTGTCGTTGTCAGAACCATAACAATTGCATTTTCCTTTCACACATGAATAAAAAATTTACAGACACTGTATAGTACATTAATATATAGTCAGGATGGCCGAGCGGTCCAAGGCGCTGCGTTCAGGTCGCAGTCCGGTCTTCCGGGCGTGGGTTCGAATCCCACTCCTGACAAGAGTTTTAGAAGGACAGAGAGACAATTGTATGCCATGCATTTAAAGTCATCTCGGAAAGAGAAGCTGACACTCTCTGTTTAAACACGTAATCGTGGGATACTGACTATCACTCTCTCTGATACCCTTTAGATTATCAAGCGGACTGCCCTTCAATACCCAGCATGAGTTTCTTGATGTGTGCTAAAAAAGAAATCGTTGTATAAGGCCTTCATGAAAATACTAATAATAATCGATAATTTTATTAAGAATTATACAATATTCTCCGTAGTAGATAAGGAAGTGGGTCTGCTTTTCAGCCGTGGTAGCCATAACCTGAGAAAAAAAAATAAAAAGGGGCCAAGGAGTGCATCAATGAAAAATAAATATAACTCTTACTTTTTTCCAGGAAAACGCATTATATCATGGCCAAATCCAAGAAGACAGAGCATGCATGGGGCAACCTACCGCCGGAGGGCTTGCAATACTGGTCGACGGTGACGTACTCCTTCTGCTGGACGGTTGTGGTGACGTACTGTGGCACTGTCTCCGTCACGTAGTGGGGCACTGCCTGCGTCTGCGTCACATAGTGGGGCACGGCCTGGGTCTCTGTCACGTACTGGGTGGTGTACT